AAATAAAGAATGCAAAGCAACCAAAAGCAAGCTCCAAGCACCTGCAACTCGTAGATCAAGAAGTAAACTGATCTTTGGCAGGTTATCATCAAAAGAACTTTAACTTGATCTCAAGGAGACAATCCCACTGAAACTTAGCAATGAGTAATGACTGCAGGCAAACATAACTAACAGCGCATTTATGGCAAAAACTAGTCATGCTTTACCAAAATGGCTTATCCAACCTTCAAAATACATAGGATTTATTATTTTGTTTACAGTTCATTTTCAGAAAAGTTTATCAAGTGGTAAGTCACTAAAACTGGATCAACTGAGTAAGTGAATAATAAAAATATTTAGGGGGAGAGAAAGATAAAAAGGGAAGTACGTGAAAATTAACATTACCAAAAGTAACTAGTACAAAATTTAGAAACTGCTCGGATGGAAAAATTTTGGAAGATTTAAACACTACATTATTGCAAAATGTAAAGTTCTGATTCCTCTACAGGAGCACATGCAAAGAAGCTACTTTAACTTCCTTACCTTTTCCACAGTTAATCTCAGTCAAACAATGAAAGAGCCTAATTTGCCTTCAACATATGCTGATAGAGTTCACACGTTGTCTTGACTGCCACATTTGCTTAGACNNNTTTTTTTTTTTTTTCCTCTCCAAACACCGACTTTGCCACAGGAACACTCTGCAAACAGTCAAGACGAGTGTCTACCACATTTTAATTGTGAATAGGTCATACCATGACTCTAAAGGAATTTCCAGGCTTATACAGCACAATAAAAATTTTTAAAAACCCAGTTAATGTGACCTTTGATGCCCAGATATTAAGTCTGTCGGATAATTTTCTGCATACTGGGCCATTTGGCTGCTGCACACTTCAGAAAGCATTAAAGAAAGTGAGTTCATATTTAAAAAATCTGTTCCACTGACTTTTCTCAAGCAGATTTCTCCATGGCCATTGCAGCTCATATCCTGCTTCACTTCTTAAATGGTATAAAATATGTAGGATTCGTGATTTAATTGCCACAGTAAGTAGAATAAGCTATATTAGGTGTGTTACAGGATTCCTACTGGGACTACAATGCAAAGAATGATTGTTATTGCAGATTATGACAGGGAGAGACAACTGTGCTTTCCAGAAACCAGCATTAAAGTGACCACACGAGCAAAAAGCACATTTCTTCTGAGTGCACTGAGCAGCTTTGACGAGGCCCTGACAATGCTACCCTTCTGATCTTCAACAAATGTGTAAAAATATAATTTACTGTTTTGTAAGTGCAAATATACATTTATTTGTGCAGCAGCACAACTTAAAGTCCTCCCTTTCTTCCTCTTCCATCTGTTTCAGAAGCCAGATTAGAGATACAAGAACAATTTCACAGCACTGGTATCCTCTGGGGGTGTGCTTCAGGTACAACTGAGCAGAACTTCACCGACAATTCTGCTGATCAAGTACATAAAGGACTATAATCTTGGCCCTCTAGCAGTACTGGCTCCTGGAGGTGAGCAGGGATGAGAGACTAAAATCAGGGGTTTTAATCACTCAGGGAAAAGATGTGACATCCAAACACATTAGGATCCAACCTATTCACATCATTAAAAATATACGTTTAACACAATTCTGCAGATTGCATTACCATTAGAAATTCAGTGGAAGGCAAATCTGCATTTATCATAACGTGGCACAGGAAACAAATGTCCCCAGTAAAAAGTAGGCTAAACACTCCATCTGTTAGAGGAAACAACTGCACTCACCCGGAGTAATGGGCTGCATCTCACAAGGAATCTTTCCCTGGAGACTCGAATTTCGTAGGCCAGTTTTGAAACTAGAAATAAAAACCAGAGAAACAGAGACATCACTGAAGGTGTTTCCTTACCTGAGACACCCAAGTTCCAATTGCAGCTGCTCCAGTGACAATTAATCTTCCATCCCCAATGTGACTTTCATCATTTATCTATGAGATTAATAATAATATTTATCCAGCTCATACCTGGCAGTGCTTGCACATACTTGAGTGCTGGGCATTGTAAGATTTATCAAACTAACATTCCTAAAAGCACAAGATAGTGGTAATAACATTAAAAAAAAAAATAGGAACAAATACATTCTATATATACAAAAAATAATTTTTACTCTTAGGAACTGGGTAATCTTCATCCACACTCTCCCATCCATGCCAATTCTTTTGGCATCTACAAATCACACTCAGCTTCAGTTTTTCCAACTGTAATGCCACAGGGAGCTTCTTTAGCACATGGAAAAGCAACTCTGAAAAACAGGGCTTTTCATGCCCCTGATTCCTTGTGATTTAGTCCCTCACAAAGGGTCCAAAACACCACCTTCTACGAAAGATCATGTTATTCATTATAATCTTGAAGACTATCTAGATGTTTATAAAATCAAATTAAATTTCAGAGGTTTCTACAATTATAGGATTAGAAATTCACTCAGTTTACTGAATTGGAGAGAATTTCAATGCTGGGGAAAAGCTCAGCTGATTCTGAACATCTCAAGGTTGGCCAAGGTACACAAAAAGCACATTTCCCAAGCATCAAATCAAGACTCCCTCATTGTAACCTACTAATAAACCAACATTTTATTTGTCCAAACTGTAACTTTTATTGAAATGAGTGGTCCAGTTGGACCAGCATTCATCTGAATGTCTGCAAATCAATGTGTTAATATTTAAACTGAGCAAGTCTTTTAGTACCAATTTCCATCTCTGCAAGTATTTCTCATCCTACTCCTCTGAAAATAAAGAATGCAAAGCAACCAAAAGCAAGCTCCAAGCACCTGCAACTCGTAGATCAAGAAGTAAACTGATCTTTGGCAGGTTATCATCAAAAGAACTTTAACTTGATCTCAAGGAGACAATCCCACTGAAACTTAGCAATGAGTAATGACTGCAGGCAAACATAACTAACAGTGCATTTATGGCAAAAACTAGTCATGCTTTACCAAAATGGCTTATCCAACCTTCAAAATACATAGGATTTATTATTTTGTTTACAGTTCATTTCCAGAAAAGTTTATCAAGTGGTAAGTCGCTAAAACTGGATCAACTGAGTAAGTGAATAATAAAAATATTTAGGGGGAGAGAAAGATAAAAAGGGAAGTATGTGAAAATTAACGTTACCAAAAGTAACTAGTACAAACTTTAGAAACTGCTCTGATGGAAAAATTTTGGAAGATTTAAACACTACATTATTGCAAAATGTAAAGTTCTGATTCCTCTACAGGAGCACATGCAAAGAAGCTACTTTAACTTCCTTACCTTTTCCACAGTTAATCTCAGTCAAACAATGAAAGAGCCTAATTTGCCTTCAACATATGCTGATAGAGTTCACACGTTGTCTTGAC